TGCTTTTCTTGGTCATGCTGAGCTAAAACCTCAACGCAACGCAACCAAACTTTCCAGCCCAATCATCAGGAGTTTACAAAAAAAAAATGAGAAGAAGAAAAAGCCCAATCATCAGGAGGCGGCCGCGGATGATTAGATTCAGGCTTTGCAATTTGCCATGTTAAGGCCCCGTTTAGATCCAAAAAATTTTGGATTTTGGCTACTGTAGCACTTTCGTTTGTATTTGGCAATTAATGTCTAATTATGGACTAATTAGGTTCAAAAGTTTCGTCTCGCGATTTCTCACCCAACTGTGCAATTAGTTTTTTTTTCTATATTTAGTACTTCATACATGTACCGTAAGATTCGACGTGACAGATACTGCGCAAAAAATTTTAGAATCTAAACGGGGCCTAAGCAAAAAGTCAAGCTCTTCGTTCAGAGCTGGACAGCGCGGGCATCACCAAGTAGGCGGAGTAAACGCGGCTGCTCCGACTCCGAGGCATCACATGGAGCTTCGTACTCGCACTTCCAGTTGGGGCGCGTTTAGTTGCCCCAAAATTTGACGCCGCCTGAATTTTATAGGCACTATAGTATATTGTAGTATTTCGTTTGTATTTGATAATAATTATTTAATTATTGATTAATTAGGCTTAAAATGTTTGTCTCATAAAGTACAACCAAATTGTATAATTAGTTTTTGATTTTGTCAACATTTAATACTCTATGCATATATCGTAAATTTGATATGATGGAAAATCTTTTTTTATATAGTGCCAAAGTTTAAATTCTGAGTGAACTAAATATGGCCTTGGTGGAGGCGAAGGAACTGAAATTGTGTACGAATACGAAGCAACCAAGTCAATTCACGGCCAATTTGTTATAGTCCTATCATACCAGCTCATTGGATAAGGCTGTTTTTTCTCTCATAAATACCGAGTACTCCGTCCGTCCAAAAACGAATGGAACTATATGTGTTGCGTGTCCACAAAAGTAGTTTACGTTTAACCAAATTTCTAGTAAATACTATTTATATTTACGGCTCTAAAATAATTTATTATAAAAATATATTTCGTAATTAATTTAATGATATTTATTTAATATCATAAATATTGATATTTTTTATCTATAATTGATCGAACTTAAGATACAAAACATTGACACTATGGTAGAATTGTATTTTTTTCCTGAACGGAGGGAGCAGTACTTTGTATGACAGTCACGAGTCTACCAAACCGTATTTTGGCCCTGTTCGCTTCTCTTATAATCCGTTTTTTCAGCTTGTTTTTTCAGTCGGAACAGTGATTTTCTCTCACAATAAAGCCGGAACAGTGTTTCGGCTTTGTTTTTTCAGCGAAACGAACAGTGCCTTTGTTTGTGCAAATTCTTGAAAAAACAAAACCCATCCCCCTGTCTTCCCTTGTTAAAAGACAAGGCTCTATCAAAGAGGACACAGGCTGTTGTAAAAAAAAAAAAGAGGACACCGGCCAGTACGTGAACACTGGGGCGACAGGTATACCGCTACCGCTGTCGAGTCCAGCTGTTCTGCAGTAGCAGCGCCATACCGCCCTTTGAGTATTCTCGATTTTCTCTCATCCATCCATCCATCCGGGGCGAGTGGAGACTGGAGAGAAAGAAAACATGCAAAAATCGCGGCTGCATACATCAGGCGGGCGAGGACAATTCAGCACGTCGCGGCGAGGGAGAGCGCACGCGACGACGGACAAGGACACGAGGCCCGGCCGCGGCGCGGGCTCGCCGAGACGTGTCAGCGCGCCACGGCTCAGACCTCAAGTGTCATGCTCACAGCCGCCCGCGCGTGCGCGCGTCATCACCGGCCGGCAGGCGGCAGCGAAGGTGTCAGGAGCGGTGGAGCTCCTCTGGCAGCGACACGGGGGTGCCAACGGCTAAAACGTGGAGACCGAGGCAACGTGAACCGAAACAACTCGTTGCCGGCCCCGGTTGGCCTGGCCACTGGCCATCCCCACCCCTGCCTTTCCGCTTGGCTTCGCTGCGGCGATCGCAGTCGCAGCCCCGCACGCACGCCGCGCCCACGTAAACCCGACGCGATGACGGACAAATCTCAGCTCTGGGTTCTGTCAGCTTGGCCACAGGCGGATGCATTCAAAAAACTTGAAACGCCAAGTCGCCAACGATAAACATCCCGTCCCGACGTGGGCGTTCGGCGTTCGCCCCGTGGGAAGTCAACGGTCCACGCGAAGATAGCTGGGATATCCTTTTCTAGGCTATATTTATGCACAGATGGTTAGCGAGAGGAATGAATGATTTGTGATTGCAACGCTGCTGTTTACCTCCCTTTTATTTGTTCAGAAATGATTGTGACGACCATACCTGCGTCATCTGTCATCGGGATAATAAAGACTTCATTTCCCACGGCGCGTGTTTAGTTTACTATCGGCGAAATCGAGACCACCATGTGCGCAACTTGAACATACGAAGATGGTAATTTTACTGTAAACACCTTTGCGCATTGTATTTCCCTCCCGTTTCAAGATGTGATCTTTTTTCACTGTATGATGACTGTGATCTTTTTAGCAACATTTTGAAATGACTCGGGCACTCAGCACAGTTTATTATTATGGTGGGATCATGATCGTGCCACGTTCTACCCTGCACATTTCACATTTGAACAGAAGCATGGAAATTCCGTGCCTAAACGGATATTCGGAGTCCTGTAGTTTTTCATCCGTTAAATTTTTTTTGCAAATTTTCATCCATTAATTGTGTATGAAACAATGCTTACTTTTCATGTCTTGGAAATTCCGAGACTAACCAAAATTTCATGTCCCGGAAATTTTAAGTCTAATAACCAGAACGCTCAAACTAGGCCTATACCAATTTAAAAGGCACATGATTAGCTTTGACCCAATCTAAGAAAAACTCTATAAAACGACTTGATAATAGTACCACATTGGTTTTTTCCAACAAGATAAGACCACCCCTGCTCCCTATAAAATAGGAAGTACATGGTTGATTGAGATATCCAACACACAATCGTCTAAATTACTTTTAATACCCTTTTTCATAATTATTTTTCCAACCCCATGATGTTGTTCATCTCTTGATCCGATGACCAAGGAGAGCATCCTAGGCTTGCTAGCCGACTTAGGGCAACCCGCCGATGTCCTTGCCTCGACGGGGGGCCTCCGGCCAAGAACTTCGATGATTTCTTTGCTACTTTGCTCATAAACTAATGGTTCTTCATCACGTAGGCACGATTGGTTATCTTTTGGTGGTTTGCTTTGCTCGTAAACCTCTTTGTTTCTAAGCACGTCAGTGTGATCCTCGTTGTGTTTTTCGATTCGTGGCGACCCGGATGATCTAGCTCTAGCACCGATCTTTGCGTCAGAATTTTCGGTCAGCAAAGTAACTGACCAATCTGCGAAGAGGTGGAATATTTATAGCCTCTCTCTGCCTTAACTCTTAACCTGCCAGGAGTGCTCGAAATTTCCGAGTCAAATATCAGTATGTACCATTTGAACCCTCCCCCCAAAAAAACACTTGCATGAACTATACAAATTGAAAAAAAATGTGTTAATCAAAACAGATAGCGTCTCCAAATTCCAAACATTTGTCTTTGAATCAATTTTTGTCACCAAGATATACACACATTAAAAATTAAACATGGAACAGCACAGAGGGACAGGCCAACAGTATGATGCCTTCTTCCTCATAGTCTCACTCGATCAGTTTGTTTCTCAAGGTCTAGGGGAAAAGGCGGATGATGTATAGAAATAAACACTGAATCCCTGAAACCGTACAGAAAAATTAAACAAAAGGCAATGGTGTTGTTACCCCTAATTTGCATGTCAATTATAATTTTATTCCTACTTTAGTAACTTTGAGATCTTTCCCAGCTTTTTTAAACTAAAAAATAAGTTTACCCCTACTCGTTGTGAGCACCTAACGATGCCAATTCTGCTGTAAAAGAACATGTGGTAAAAAATACTTTAATAATAAAACTTGCAGCCTGTTCGGAAGACCGTATCGTATCGTAGATTATTTACTGCTGGCTGATTTGGTGTGAGAGAAAAACACTATTCCCGACTGGAAATTTACGATCGTTTACGAGCAAACGAACAGGCTGTTGGTAGCCAGTCAAACTTTTACAAAACTTGCAGATGCATTCAACTATTTAAGTATAGTACATCATGTACAACAACCATCACATAGAACCACAAAGTAGACGTTGTTCTTTTGACTGATTCTGCCTAAACTCGTGCAAAATAGAAGTTCAAAATGTGTTAACAAAAAAAAACAGACAATAACTCAAAATTATAAGCCGTTGTGGTAAACCGAATTTTATGGAGGGACAGCGGCAAAACTGGCCGGTGAGTCGGCGGCCTCGCCCGCTGGCATCTTACTAGCAGGCCAGGCCAGCAGCGGCGCTTGCCTCCTCCCCCGCTCCCCTCTCTTCCTCAAGAGAAAAAATAGGACGAGAGGCGGAGAGAAATAAACTCCGATACCCGGAATCGCCGTGCAAAATCAAACAAAACCAGAGCGGCAGATACAATAAGCAGCTGCTGCGGCTCGCAGCATCGCAGCAGACTCCACCGTCACGCCACCGCGCCGAGAGAGAAAAGCCGAGCGGTGGTGGCAGGCGAGGGGACGGACGAAAGGGTGAAATCGCCTGCCTGCCTGCCGCGGTGGGTTGGTGGGTGCCGCCTCCGCATCCTGCTGCTCTGTTCCGCAGTCCACCCCCATTTACCTTGCCTGACCTCGCATGGATTCCCGCTCGCTTCTCCTCCACTCCACGCGCCGATCCGCCACCTGCCAGGAGAGCGCGACGCGATCCAATTGAGCTCCAGGAGGCGGGGGGCTGCCTGCCCGCTGTGTGTGTGTTCCCCTCTGTTTCCGCCTCCGAAAGCCTGGCCGCGCCGCCGCTGGAGGCCATCGCGCGCCTGCACGGCGTCTTGGTGGGGTGGTCGAAGCATCAGCAGCAGCCGCCGCCGCGCGGGAGACCCGGCGCGAGGAAGCGGTGGTCGAGCCGGGGCAGCGCGATGCTGTGGGTGGCGCGCCTGTCCGGCTTCTTATCCGCCGCCATGGCGATGGTGGTGCTGTCGCCGTCGCTCCAGTCCTTCCCGCCCGCCGAGGCCATCCGGTCGTCGCAGTTCGACGGCAGCGTCCGCTTCCCGGGCCAGATCGCAGGGGGCGCCAGGGGGATCGCCTTCCGCCGCGCCCCGTCGTTCCGCAATGCCGACGATTGCGGCGCCGGCGCGGGCAACGGCACCGCCGCCAATGTCTGCGACCCTTCGCTCGTCCACATCGCGATTACGCTCGATGAGGAGTACCTGAGGGGCTCCGTCGCCGCGGTCCACTCGGTGGTGCAGCACGCCAGGTGCCCCGAGAGCGTCTTCTTCCACTTCCTCGTCTCCGACCCGGGCCTCGGGGACCTCGTCCGCGCGGTCTTCCCGCAGCTCCGGTTCAAGGTCTACTACTTCGACCCCGAGCGCGTTCGCGGGCTCATCTCCACGTCGGTGCGGCAGGCGCTGGAGCAGCCGCTCAACTATGCGCGCAACTACCTGGCCGACCTCCTCGAGCCCTGCGTGCGCCGGGTCATCTACCTCGACTCCGACCTCGTTCTCGTCGACGACGTCGCCAAGCTCTGGCGCACCGACCTCGGCGGCCGCACCGTCGGCGCCCCCGAGTACTGCCACGCCAACTTTACCAAGTACTTCACCGGCCGGTTCTGGTCGGACCAGCGGTTCGCCGGGACGTTCGTGGGGCGGCGTCCGTGCTACTTCAACACGGGGGTCATGGTGCTTGACCTCGAGCGGTGGCGGCACGCGGGCTACACGCAGCGCATCGAGCGCTGGATGGAGATACAGAAGTCGCCGCCGGGGCACATCTACGAGCTGGGGTCGCTGCCGCCCTTCCTGCTGGTGTTCGCGGGGCACGTGGCGCCGATCGAGCACCGGTGGAACCAGCACGGCCTCGGCGGCGACAATGTCCTGGGCAGCTGCCGCGACCTACACCCGGGACCCGTGAGCCTGCTCCATTGGTCCGGGTCCGGCAAGCCCTGGGCGCGGCTGGGCGCCGGGCGGCCGTGCCCGCTCGATGCGCTCTGGGCACCCTTCGACCTGTACGGCCCCGCCGGCGCCGGCGCCGAGGAGTCCCGGTAATACCGCAACACTCGAAAAAGAAAGATTCTTTTCCTTCTTTGGCCGACGCTGTACAAATTCTGAGCTTCTAATTTCTACATTACCTGTTCAAACCTATATGTTTTTTCATCCTTTTTTGTTTCTTTTTTACCCCCTGGGCAGTTGGATTAAATGTTTTGTGTTAGAAATTGTTCATGTTTGTTCTTAGTGATCCCTTCTTCCATTCCTTTTTTGATCGTTTTGTTACTAAAATCATTTGTATCCTACTCTACAGAGCTGCAGGCTTGCAGCCTCATCACGATAAATAAAAGGAACAGAGAAATAGATTTCGCAGTTTGCAGCATTTGCCCCTCATCTCTCCCTCTCACCCTGTGTGGCCTCTGCCGTTCGGTGTCTGCTCATTCACTCTTGCCATCAAATCCACAATCCACCCATCCATCTCAATGAGGAGTCAGTCAGTCCAATGCAGCACCTGCACAACCCTTAATGCTCTGCCCCTGGACTCGACGAATACTACCGCCTCCAGTCCCCACCATGGACCGGTGGTTCCTTGTACCATCAACGGCCGAGTCACCGTCAATGCCTCACAAACATGAGTAACTTGGAATCCTCATCTTTGTGGCCGTGCACGAACTGACTGACACTAACAACCATTTCGCTCGCGCTTAAGCACTTACGGCAGATAAACCTAGCTCGCGTGGATTAAAGCCGGCGGAAATGGCCGGTGTGGGGGAAGGACTCGGTGGCTGCAAGCATCACGGGACTTGTGACTTGTGAGCTACCGCCCAAGACCGTCTCTCTTTCCGGGGTCCTCCTCCTCCTCCTCCCCTTTCCTCCGGTGGGGCCTCTCGCCACTCCCGCTCGCCATCCTCGCCGCTTTATTCTTTTGCAAACCATTATTGTGCTGCTGCTCTGTTCTCCTCTCCTCTCATCGGCATATAAAATTTCGTCGAGGGATTTTTTCTCTCTCTCTCTCCTTTTGTTTTCTCCAAGCCAGCAGCACCTCATCTTCTCCTACAAGAACCTTTTGTTTTTCTGATCATCTCACTTTCCTTGCCAGCTCCCACTTAGCATCTACTTGTCGCCCTCCGCTCAATGCGTCCAGCCAATATTTTGTGAACAATGTGGGTGGAAGGAAAAGAAGAAAAAAAACATTTCGTGTCAATTGGTGCTTGGCATCACCCGTGCGGCACTCTCGCTGCCAACAGGGGCCCGCCGGTGGTGACGTGGTAAAGGGCCTGGGTGCCCGCCACACGCGTCGGTTTCTGCCCTTGCCGCATGTATGGAGCATTAAATATAGGTAAAAAAAGTAACTAATTATACAGTTTGGTTGTAAATCACGAGACGAATCTTTTAAGTCTAGTTAGTCCATGATCGGACAAAGTTTGTCAAATATAAACGAAACGTGCTACAGTGTCCAGATTGCAAAAAATTGCAATCTAAACAAGGCCTAGGCTCGGTCGATTTGATTTGGCTGACGGTGACGGTCTAACTGACGCGGGCTTTTAACCTTTCGCAAATTAGCCCCGGCTAATCAGCTGCTTACATGTGAGATTCGTGTTGTTCGGACTTCGGAACTGCAAGTGCGCGCCGTGTGATTGAATTATTTTACTTTCAAGTCCCATTTCCAGCAGATACATGGTTGATCTCACTCGTAACGCCAAAGCTTGCTAATGATCTGATGATTGCCTTTCTGTATGTACTACCTCAGAATTCTAGTGCACCTAATGTCCTTATCGGCCACCGTCGTGTTTTGATTATGTGAAGCTAATTTTAAACTGTCCGCAATATCGATAATTTGAGATGTTAGAAAGAAAAACGCACTCTTTACTCCTTCAGTCTTCTAGAGAACTACTACTCCCTCAAGGTCTTGATATCAGTATTGTTTAATTGGGTGGCTGCTGATGTGAGCATTCGGCTATCATTCCTTGTGTTTGTCTTGTGTACAATTCAGGTTAGCAACGCCATTTTATCGCCAAAAGCTTTACCTTTTGGGTCGTATCTCCGGCAAAACCTTAGTCTTTTTTCGTTTCTCCTGCTGGTATGTGGTATATATGGTAGAAAGGCAGAACGATAGGACCTTTTCGGAACCCTGCACCTGCAGACCGGTGCTTGCGTTTGGAGTACTAGTGCCGTATCGCAATTGCTCTATTCCTCATGAGACGATCAGATCAGCGCGAGCCTCCGGGTGGTCCTCCACTCCTCGCTGATGCGACGGCATCTCAAGAGGTGCGCGGGGGTTCTGGTGGGGCGATCACGCTCACGCGCGTCCCTCTAGCGCCCTCGCGTTGCGTCGGTTAGGATGTCAGCGTCGCCGAGCCGAGCACGGCCTCCGCCGCGAGGGAAAGCTGACCGGCAAGGCGACCCGTGCCCGTGCCTAGTCTTTTCGCGCGCAGCCGCCGCTGCAGCCGCTCCTACAGCTTCTCCGGTGACACGTCGAGGCGTGATCGCGTGGGCTTTTAAAGGACGTCGTTTTTTCGGATGGCCGCTGTGGCGTCCCGTCCCGTCCGGTCCGGTACAAACAACGAACTGGTGGTAGGTGCTGAGACGAGACAAGGGGGAAGGGGCCTGTGTGCTGCAAGTCGTCTGCAACGAGAAATGGGACGGATATGGCATGCATGCATGGAACCGTTGTGTTTCGCGAGGATTTCTCGTCTCGGTGCCACTGTGGCATTGCGCCCTCCTTTTGCCTACTGCCGTGATGTGCCGCTGCGTACGACGGGTTTGCTTAAAGAGTGACGTACGGTGGGGCTGCCAGCCAGCCAGCCAGATGCCTGAGAAAGACGGCGTATGGACCCCGAAAAGTATAGTCCTTGATTGTTGACCTTATATCACGCATGTTGCCCAAGAGGGATTCCTAGGGTGGGGATAAGGTTACACGATGGTGGCTTTTTGTATAGTTCTGCTAGGGGTGTTCACGCCGGTCACACGCGGGTAGGGGCTAGATCGTCCAGAGACCGTTTTCTTTCATTGGGACTAACGGCGAGGTTGATTGGTAGGTCGACGAGACCGATTAGACGCCCGTTCTTCGTCCAATAACCCACGAACGCTCACAAATCATGTCAAGGGACATGTAGGACAGCGAGCAGGGGTGAATCTAGGATTTTGTCTCCGGTATGTCGTTAAAAAAATTCATATACAATTCGGTAAATCCATTTCAGCAATTAGATAATAATTGTAAAATTGACAACATGATTCGGTATATATGCACTAAATAACACAATAAGGCTTAAATTCATGGATTAAGTTCAAACCATCCACTAAGTATAGTATAAATAGTTCAAAAGCTATATCAATAATTGAAATAAGGCATAAAAGAGAACTAGGGACTTACAATTATATTTTTGTGACTATTTTATTCGACGCTTTCGAAGGGACATAAATGTATTGATTATATCATCTTCATCAACTTCAAAGAAAATATCCCGCTCAATGAAAGTGACTAGACAGTCATTCAGAAGACTATCTCCCATCTTATTTCTTAACTTTGTTTTCACAAAAAACATTGCAGAAAATACCCTTTCAACACTTGCCGTTGCCACAGGTAGAAGCAATACCAATTTGAGGAGCTCATAAACCATATCGTACACTTTGTGCCTCTTTGTTTCAACAAGCTTAACTGAGAGATCAACAATATTGTCTAGACCTTTGAAGCTATCATCATGTCTTATGTCATCAATATAATTATCTAGCTGCAACTCAAGTTTGAGCAAATTATTATTTGAGAACTCCTTTGGGTAGAACTCAGCTAGTCTACGTAGCTTCTGTGCATCAAAAAAAGCAAATGACTTGGAGGGACTGAAGGCCGACATACAAGACAACAACTTCATATTAATCTCATCAAACCGATTATCAAGTTCTTGACTTATTTGATCAATGACACCAATATATAATTCTCTTCTAAAGTAGTCATCTTTGGTTTGCTTTTGGGCACAAGCTTTTCTTGCTGATTTTCCATAAGGAACATACTCGCCATCCATAGTAGGAACTTCAACACCATGTTTATCGCAAAATGAAGTGACCTTCTCAAGAAAATTATCACAACCATCATACCTTAATTTTTGCATCCTTTTCTTTGCCACGTTAACTAGTGATATTGCATTAAGAATATCTTGGTCCCTTCTTTGCAAACACTCAGATAACTCATTTGTATATCAAGAATAATATACATTAAGTGTACAAAGAAAACAAACTCAAAGTTCTTAAACGCTCCGGTCACAAAATATATTTTGGTCCAATCATCCTTATATGCAGGATCATCCCCAAGATCAACTAGTACATCATGGATTGCTTCATACATAGTAATGATGCTGCATACAGTTTTGTAATGAGATCCCCATCGAGTATCTCCAGGCCTAGGCAAACCTATCTCTTGATGTAATCCAGTTCCAGATTCAATTTCACCACAGTCAAGTGCTTTCTTGACATTTTCAAGCCTAGCATTTCTAAGCATGTCATGACGCTTACAGGAAACTCCAACAATATTCAACAAGATAGATATTTGATAAAAAAAAGTCTTACAATCAGTATTTTCCTTGGCAATAGAAACAAAAACCAATTGGAGTTGATAAGCAAAACAATGAATATAATAAGCAGAAGGTGATTCTTGCATGATCAATGTTTTCAACCCTTTAATATCTCCTTTCATGTTGCTAGCCCCATCATATCCTTGACAACGGATTTGAGTCATAGTCAAGCAATGACTAACAAGTAAAGCTTCAATTGCATCCTTAAGTGATAAAAGTGGTAGTATCATCTACATGAATAACTCCAATAAAATGCTCACATGGCCTTCCCAATTTATCAACATAACGCAAGCAAAGAGCTAGTTGTTCTTTATGTGATATATCACTAGACTCATCAGTTAAAATTGCATAGGGCTCATCACCAAGTTCTTTAATTATTTTCTTTCTAGTTTCTAGGGCACAACAGTGAATAAATTGCTTTTGTATGTCTGGGCTAGTTAAGGTACAGTTACCTGGAGCATTGTCCAAAACATACTTCTTCACTTCTTCACTATT